AGACACAGAACTGAATGAGACGAGGAGGTGCTCATGGGAAAACGAAACTAACCGACAAAGACCTGTGATCAAACAGAAATCTCATGAATAATTCCACACAGGTTAACTTCAGCACCTCTGATAAAGTGCCGCTTACAATCCCCAACAGAGCAAGACAGGGCTTCAGTTTTTAACGTTCCATTTTTATAGCCTACTGAAACTACAGTATATGTCCGCTTTGGCACAAACTGTCTGCGACTCACAGCGCGAGGTGGGTGCACCTCAGTCGCTGGTGTCGCAGCGAAGTTGCTTTCAGGGTGAGTCCGACAACGGATAATCCTCTTGTAAATGTGTAACCACTGCGATAACAAGACGTTCGCGGTGTATTCCTCAGACAAATAAACACTTTTCCACCAAGCAAGAGAGCGTCAATTTTCCAGAGTTTACACAGTAAACGCCATGTGGGTAAAATTTTAGAGATGATAATCTAACTTCCCGTTCCCATGAAGGCAGCACGAAGCTGCACCACAAGTAGCTGACGGGGGAAAAAACACACAGTCTCGACCAGTGGAATGGAAATACTGAAGACATGTCTGTTAAGAATAGCACTGAAACTGGTGACGATCAGTACATACAGTCTTTATACACATCCTTTTTAGTAAGTAATATAACCTACTGCCAGTCAAAATGTACACGTCATTTAAAAAGTTTTGTTTCTCCACATGGGAATCAAGAAAAGAAACATTGGAATTAGCATGTAACACATGATCAACTATGGTATACTAGCCTATACATTCTGCAGGGATGGAGAGAGTCAGGCAATTGATTTATTGCATGTAGGCTAAGCAAAGCTACCATAGTTCAGAGTCATAGTGAGCCATCAACTCAGTTTTTAGTGCCACAACAACAGGTGGTACATACTAATGTCCATTTGCTGCAATAACCTAATGTTGATATGTAAAACCATTGCTGATTGTAATTCAATCCTTCCTGCATGTGCTTCACAAAACAAGTATATAGTATAAAGGCGGTGGCAGGATTTTTTAAATATGAAACTAGAAGTTTTGATGGTGTGATTTGGGGCTAGCTTACCACAAGCAAAAACAGACTTCTCCCCAAAACTAGATTTTCACTTGCTCTTTTCAGTGATGTAGAAACATTTTGGGGGTGAAATAAAAGTTTTCACATCTCACAAAGCTTGACAAAAGCAGCTCAGAAAGCAGCTCAGAAAATGAGGACTACTGTTGCGTGTCATATACTAACTCTTAGTAGCAAGGGTAAAATTTGCAACATGTTAACTTACACATAGAAGATTGATCCCGATGAGTTTTGCGGTATTAGTTTTACACATTTTAAATATGGGGAAGAGAGAGAGCATTGGCATTTGATCACTACATGGTTTCATCCACCACCAGTACCGTGAGTTGGGATATCAGACCAGTTCAGAACCAGGAGACAAAAAGTTAAATCGGTTCATCCCTACTTTGAATTGCTTTGAAGTTGTAGATTTACTACATAACAAATGTAATGGAAATTACGAGTTAACCCCAGAGTTTGGGTTATCAATGGCAATCCGTTTTCCTCTTTTGTAGTGTAAATGGAAGGGAACACTAGAAAAAAAATAGAAACATGGTCTCAAAAAAGAGCAGCAGTGATGAGACTTTTTACTAAAACCTTATTGTCAAGGCCAAACTAGCCACTATGGTTGAATGCAAGACAGTGTAAGACTGCTGAACATCCTGTTCTGGCTAGTCAAGAACCCCATGGTAAATCGGGGCATAACATAAAAAATAAAAAGTCATATGATAGATATGATAGATATACTACTGTCCTGTTATGTCAACAAAGTAGCTAACTAGCATTTGAATACTTCATCCTCAAGGGAAGGTTTCTGGATTTCATGTCCTCTGTAATAGTCTTATTCACAGGGATAATGCGGGTTGCACACTAATTAGCAAAAGGCAGCTGGTTCTCAGTAGAAGGATCAAACTTTAGCTCTTGAAGGTTCCAGTTAATAAAGTTGTAAACTATAATTTTTTATAATTCTAGCTTTTTTTTACTAAGGGAAATGGGGTGGGGGGGTGGAAGGAGGTGCGGGGGGTGGAGCACATTCCTCAATTCACCCTGCACAGCCTATGCTACACCAGAAAGAGAGAGGACAGAGAAGAAGAGGTTTAAAGTTTTAAGACTCACAAGTTTATGCATTAAGTAATTTACAGTGCTGTTTACTTTTAACTCACCGTTATACTATTTTACTGCTTTACTGTAATTATTTCAATTTATTCTTGTTTAATAATAAAGACTGCCTTGATTCCAAATCAATGAAGAAACCTCCTACTGATCCTTTGCTGGCCCCGGAGATTCCTCGTTTACTTATAACTCACTGCTATACTTTTTTTTTTTTTACTGCTATATTTATATGCCATAAACACCTACTAGTTAATTCATTCAAGTTCATGTTTTATTACTTAATAAAGTCTTTAAATCAATGAAAAACCTCCTTCAAATATCAGTCAAAAAACACACAAAGGAACGATGTACGCACCCCTCTTATCAGTTACACACACACATTTCCGGTTTAGGGGCGGGACCGGAAGTAGCTGTCAAAATGAGTTTGATGGAATGTCATGTATATCTTCTCTCTCACAGAAAATTCTGTATAATTACCTTCAGATACCCTAATTTAAAGCCCAATACCAGTATATTGATGGATTTAAACTTTTATTTTATGTCATTATTAAATCTATTTACAGGAAATTCCTGTTAAATATTGGTTTTATCCTGTACAAAAAAAAGTTGCAAAAACATAATTTTAACAGTTATTGCTTTATATCAACATTATTTGACAGTAATTACAGACACATCTCCAATAAATTTACAAGCTTTGAACATTAATGTATAGAGGTTTACTTTATATAAACATTATTTAACAATAATTACAAGCATCTATCCAATATATCCATCCATCCATCCGTTGTCAACCGCTTATCCTGCGTACAGGGATGGAGCCAATCCCAGCTGGCATCGGGCGAAAGGCAGGGTACACCCTGGACAGGTCGCCAGTCCATCGCAGTCTATCCAATATATCTACATACTTTTCCATTTAATTACGGGGGTTTACTTTCATATAAACATTATTTGCTAGTAATTACAAGCAACTCTCCAATATTTCTACATATTTTTACCATTTCAATATGAGGGGTTATTTTATTTAAACATTATTTGCTAGTAATTACAAGCAGCTCTCAAATACTTCTACATATTTTTAACTTTAATGTATAGGGCTTTACCTATTTTTTTTTTAATTACAGTAATTTCAAGCAACTACCCAATATATATAGGGTGGCTATGGGTTGGCCGTAAATCAGAAGGCAAGATACTGAACCCCGAATTGCCCCTGGTGGCTGTTCCGCCAGTGTATGAATGTGTGTGAATGTTAGTTTCTGTTTGAGCACTTAGGCTCAGTGGTAGTGTAAAAGCGCTTTGAGTCGTCGAAAAGACTAGAGAGACGCTATACAAATACAGAGCATTACATTTACATATCTACATACATTCACCATTAAAAATGGGGGTTTATTACCATTATTTGACAGTAATTACAAACATGCATTTACCATTAATGTATGAGGGTTTACTTTATATAAACAATATATTATGTTTGTTGGATGTGCACGTTTTTGTGTTTGAACTAGACTTACAGTATATCACAATGTGAAATCTAACATTTCTTATCAGTATTAAAGACAAAAATAGTGCAAATACATAAATAAAATTTATTGCAATGTAAACCATATTTTTTTTTAAATGTTCGCAAATATGGACATGTAGTAAACACATTTATTCAAATAAACAGACTGGGCCTGTGCAAGTGGTAACAGCTACTGTATGTCCAGATAGGTCCAGAGTACTTGGGGTGGTAGGGAGAAGGGGGGACGAAGGTGGGAGTGTGGTTTTTTTAACATCTATTGTGAGCATAAACAACATGAGCTATGTTTAGGTGCAAGAAAATGGGTCCTAAAAGCCAAATTCAAAAGCAGTAACACTGCCAACTGAAAGCAATTCACTGCATTTGGAGGTGATCTTTGATGCAATTAGCTACTGTACTTGAAAACATAATCTGCCCTAGTTGTAAAATAAAATCCATTTTTCAAATATAGCCCAGGACTGCCATGTCTGATGCGAGAGTTCTTAATCATGGCATCATTTAAGCTACAAACAAATACAGCTGTTCACTGATTGGCACCAGCCTTCCACCAACACTTTGCGTCACAGACGAAAACAGGATCTTCATGCCAGTGTGCTGGAGGTAAAGCCAGTGCAGGTCATCCTCCATGTTGACCAGCTTCACGCTGATGACCTCCCCCATGCTGCTGCCGCCACACTGGATGATGAGGACATCAGATGGTGCACCTCTTTGCAAGAAGGGGAAAAGCTCATCATGTTAGCCTAGCTCGTCATGTCTGAGTGCACAAATGCACTGCTAATCAAACTTCATGCCAAGACGGCTAACGTTAGCTAACTGTCATTCTAAGAAAGGAGACAGCGATAGACTCCGTGACCTTGCCAACAGTAAATGTATAAATAATCATTAAATCATGCCATACTACATTTAAAAAGCATTTCTATTGAAATGAGCGACACGTCAACTTACCTCCATCTACCCTGTACCATAGACTGTATATAAAAAGGCCTGTACACGCTACAGCTCTGTCTCCTTGCAAAACGTTATGACTTGCAAGGAAAACTTTTTAACCTGCAAAACTATTTAACTTGCAAAACTTTCTGCCTTGCAAGGAAAACTTTTTAACTTGCAATCAATATGGACAAATTAGCAATTAAAACTTTGTGACACAAAAAAAAGCCTGTTTATTTTTAATTACAAACTCAATTTTTAATTGCAGTGCCATAAATATGCTCTCAAAACATTTTTTTTGCTTGCATTAAAAAGACACAAAAATACCTTCATACTTATAACCTCATTAGCAAGCTGAGTGACATACTGTCCTCTCTGTGTCTCCCAGGGGTCAATTCCAAGTCAGCACTGGTGCTTCTGACGCTAGTTGTCCCTGGTCACCTAGTCTTCCTCTATTCCATCTCCCTGCTGCAAGGTGAGAAGGCGCCCATCACTGTAGCCTTCACGATCTGCTATCTGAGTGCTGCCCTGCTACAGGTAAACTGAAGCAGTTTCATACACACTTTTTATGAGAATGTAGCAGATTTATGCACCCAAGTTATTGAACTACACACTATAAGTACCTTTCCACTTTTTGGTACCCTTCGTATGGGTTTGAAACGGAACAGTAGAAAGGAATGCCTTTTCCTTTCTACTGTTCACTGGTACATAATGACACAAGCTCCCTCTTACATAGCATGGGGCAATACTCACACTCCAACTTGTATTGAAAGAAATACAGTAAGCAAAATTAATCATACGTATGAGAAAACTCAACTAAATAGTCTCTTGGGTTAAGTTTTTTGCAACAAAATAGAAAGGCTGAGTTTTCGGGAATTTCTCAGCTATATTCAAGCTTCAGACTACTAAAATGATGTGCTACCCAGAAGGCTGCAGAATGAGTTTATTAAAAGCCGAAAAAAGAAAAATGAAATGAATTAAAAGGTCAGCTGCAAGATCTCTCTTTTCATTTGAATTTATTAATATACTTTTACTATACCTTTTAATGGTTTAGTCTCCAGTAATAATACGTGACCGTGTCCTAAATCTGTATTTTATTTATTGATTTGCATTGCAGAAAAACGTCTCTCTTTTAAAGAGTTAGTGGGAATCATCAGTTTGTCTGCATTACAAAGGATAAGTCTGCAAGAGTATGGACTAACCTTACAAAGTCCACTGTAAAAGAAATTTGGGTAACACTTTACATTAAGAAACATATATCACCATGCATATTAGTAGCCCATTGGCTCTTTTCTTGTCATAATCAGGGTTGGAAGGGTTACTTTAAAAATGTAATCCGATACAATTACTAATTACTTGTTAAAAATGGAATCAGTAACGTAATCCAAGTATCACAAAATAAAAGTAATGTAACCTGACTACTTTTAGTTACTTTTGGGTTACTTCAATACCAAATACGCAAATAAAGACAAGAGAGTATCAAAGATGCATTGCCTGCTATTTGTCTGTGTATTTTTAGAGAAACATACAATTAGGCTATAAAATATACCATTCCCATGAAATCAAAATGTGTTTATGTTGTGTTTATGATGTTTAGGCTTAAATGTTTTTATATCATATGCCTTGAACTAGACCTTTACATCATGGCAAGATCTGGTCCATCAATGACAAAAAAATTTATTTTGAAGGTATTCTTGAAGACTTTACTGTGTAATTTCCCGAAAAATATTTTGAACCATGTTGATGAATCATCCTGCACTGGGGGGCCTGTACTAATTTAGTGACAATTGAAAAGCTTTCTTTATTTTTATGAAGCTGCTGAAAAATAGTGTTTCTGGGACCGTGCACCACTAATTACTATACGAAAGCACACATTTATTCACTGATTTTGCTGAAACTGGATCATATTTGGTGGAAAATATTATCTGGTATTCTCTGTGATGTGCTGCTCTTCCTCAACTCTGTGATTTACAAGTTCCCTGGTGGACAGATAGCTTTACTTGTTGCTGTAGCAAGTCAGCTAACTGTTTTTAACTAGCTGCCATTATCTAATTAGCTCAGTTACTGCAGCTACTGGTCAAATTAGCTTACTCTGCCCATACTGGGAACTTGGAACACCCGAGTGTGTTTAGGTTTACTCAAGGTTTACTCAAGCACTGGAGGTTTCAGGCCAGGAGCGGGGGGACCTGGTAGGGAATAATTGCGGGGAGTGCCGCCGGGCGAGCCGCGGGGTGACAAGAGCCACACCAGCAAGAAAACCACCGACTGTATTCCCAGTGCTCAAACTGGCCTCCGGCTGCCGTGTTCACTCACTGGGAACAGGAATCATTCTGCACAGAGTCTGCATGCCGGGGTGGGGGTGTAACCACATTCAACTACTGGCTACACGCCAATCAATATCTGCGACAAATCCCTCACTAGCTGTGTGTTTTTACAGGAAACGCAACCAAATAGCACTCCGCTTTCCGTTTCATGGAAACTTTGTGCTTAAAGCAATCCCTGTGTGCAATCCCTATTTTTTTATTACAAAATGTACCTTCTGCACTGTAAAGGGAATGTCAGCCAAGCATGCATAGTCATACAAATTCAAGGTGACCACAAGCACATTATTAATTTCCAAATATTAATCTGGACAATTTAGGTCACTCTATTCTGATAGAAATTACACTGACCTACTTCAATTACTTATTGTCAGTGAATAAAAACAGTACGTAACGCAGTTTAAGTCATCCTGTCATCCTAATAATACCTTATATGCATATACTGCTTAACATTTTATTTGACATTATAGGACTGTTAAACTGACTGTAATTCTTTTTGTTCTGTGCTTATGTTAACACCAGATACTAGATTAACAGAATAGTCGACTTCTGCACAATTACGGAGACCCCAACTTTCAATGGCGACGTGTATTAATGTTTATATTTATGCCACTTATCTAATGGATTTATAATTTAACTAACTAGTGGGGACATCTCTTATGCTTACCAATATTTTAAATATCATAGACAAACAGGCATACATGTGTATATATATATTGTTGAAATTAATTTCTCCTTAAAATAAATTTTAAATAAAACTTTGGCTTAAACTGTTTCTTTTAGCTCTACCAGTATACCATAATTACTCTTCCAGTATAACATAATATAATTTCAACTGAACAAAGTAGCTAACTAGCATTATAATCAGTGTTGGGCAGTAACGCATTACCAAACGGTAAGCTTCCGGTCTCCGGGGTGAAGCTTTCCCGGAAGACCAAAAGCCTGCAATTCATCGAGTGGCCACTTGAGGCTGGCTCCAAAAGGGAGTCAATCCCCATTGATCCCCACATTAAAATGCCCAACTTTACAGCAGAATAAAACATGTTAACAGCCTGGTAAAAAAGTGTATTTTGCTAATTTTGCCCTTCATGACAACTGTGAGGGGGGTTAATTTTTTTATAACTCACCTGTTTAAATTACATTAAGTCTTAAAGTTCTGCATTATTAGGGACGTGCCCGCTTTGAGTGGCAGGCGTCTATGACCCCTGTCACTGCTAGCCGAGTGACTGCCGTCTGTTAGCCTCACTCAGCTACTACAAGAAGCTCTGAGGCTCAGCCTGTTGGAGCCATTTGGACATTTCTACAAGCAGATATCGGATGAATAATGGCAGGCTGTGTGATTTATTGGAGAGAAAACCTCCAGGAAGTCTGTGTTCCAGTTGGTGAGTGAAATTCCTGTATTTTATTTATGTGTTAATAATATTTAACAGGTAGCTGAGTTTGTTGGTGGATTGGAATTTGCCAAAAAAAGGTGGTACAGTTCATCAGAGTTTCAAAGCTGAGTGATTGCCTAACAAATCTAAAGTTACTTAAATTAAATCTAACTTGTTTGCACATACTTTTTACATGAGTTCTAAAAGAGAGATTCAAATCAATCCAGACACCCAGATACTTAAGTCACAACTTGCAAATTTTGACCTGATATTATTAGGTCTGGGTCTGGAGTGCTACATGGTCGCTTTGAAAAGTACATGCTAACCATTTTACAAACATTTAACGTAAGACATGATCTGTCAAGCCATGTTGTAATATAATTCATTGCACTGGTCAGTTTTGAAGCAGCTTGCTGTCTGCTGCTGTGTACATAAATAACAGCATCATCAGCATATGACTGGATTTCTACATCGGGACAAACCAGGGGCAAATCATTAACTGAACAACAGTGGCCCAAGTATAGATCCTTGCGGAACACCAGTATTAATTGTATAAGTAGTGGATTTATGATTTTGAACCTTTACATGATGTGTTCTTCCCTTTAGATATGAATCAATCCACTTAGTGGTATCATTGGAAAAAATTTTAAGAAGTTAAATTGTTAATAAGTGTTCCATGATTCAGTGTCAAAAGCCTTTTTAAGGTCTAGAAAAATTGCCCCCACAGTACCACCCGTATATCATGGATTTAATGTTTTCCAGAAGGAAAAGGGTAGCAGTCTCTGTTGATGGTGAGCTCTAAAACCAAATTGCATAGGATGCAGGCTAAACTCACTGTTGTTCAAATAAAAGACTACTGTATCAACTCTGAAACCCACTTCTCCATCACCTTGGATACAACAGGCAGAATACTGATAGGTCTGTAGTTACTGATAATCTGGGGATCTCCTGCTTTAAAATTGGTGACACAGCCATTTGAAGGGGATCCTCAGATATTTTACCATTTAGCTTTAACTGTAGTTGCTTTGATGATCCACTGTTATTTACACCAATTAATTTCTTAATATGCTCCCAGATTTGTTTAGTATTACCTCTAGACTCATGAATAATACTAATAAAAAAGTTTGCTAGCCTTTGTTAGTTTCAGAGTAACCCTGTTGTGTAACATTATAAACGTTTGTCTATCAGTTTGCAATTTAAACTTCAGAAAGTGTTTTAGTGCATGATCTCGCTCCTTTATCAGTTTCAGTAAGTCTGTACTCAACCATGGTAGACAGTTCTTTTTATTATTATTCTTACCTTGGGATGTCTTAGTGAACTTTTGTGCTATACTCTGAATTCTTCCTCTACATTCCTCCCAGTTATAAATTCATTCCAGTTTGTTTTATTAATAGCCATTTGAAAATTCTGAAGTTCACCTTTAGGAATTCTAGGATGCTGAGAATGACATTTATTTGTCCTAAATCTATTATTTGTAAGCTTCCTTGTGAATACAATTAGTTAATCCAGTAATGAGATCATTCCTATTTCTCTTGTCATCCCAATTTATGTTTAAATCACCTAAGAGTAAGACTTCTTTTTTTGAATTACATTCTTTGAGTAAACTTTTAAATTCATCATAGAAGGTATTGTTAGAAGAAGGTGAACGACATAGTAAAACCTGAACAAAAGACATTTGAGAAGAGAGAGTGATAGTCCAATACTTTCCAGATTAACATTAGATGAATTTGGCTACAGTGAACATTATTCTTCAGGTAAACCATGACTCCACAACCTCTTCCCTTAACCTTATCCCGTCTAAATAAATTATATCCGGTATAGTCATTCATTATACATTCAAGGC